ATAGCCCGATGGAGATCGTGGACGCCAAGGCCGAGGCATTCGCGAAGATCTGGAGGTGCGAGGAGGTCGCCAACGGCACGCGCACGCAGCTGCTCGGGGACCGCAGGAGGCGAGCGGCAGCCGTGGACGCGCCACAGTGGGCTGTCGACGACCTGGACCTCGCCCTCGCGGGGGAGCCCGACAAGGGCCAAGGAGTAGACAAGCTCTGCTGTAGCGACATCCGTCGGCTACCGACGGCGGGGCGACAAGCCATCGTGGACCTGTTCAACGAGTGCGAGCTGAAGCTGATGTGGCCCTGGCAGCTCCTGAACGCGCTGGTCATGATTATCCCCAAGCCAGCCAAGGGCGACCGCGCGCTGGCCCTGCTCCCGCAGCTGGTGCGCTGCTGGGAGCTCCACAGGCCCGCGGTGAGGGAGTGGGCGAAGCAGCAGGAGCGCGAGTGGGACGCGGCGGTGGCGGGCAACAGCTGCAAGAGGGAGGCGCTGAGGCGTATCCTCTCGGACGAGTGCTGCGACGCGCTCGGCATCTTCCAGGGCTGCACGCTGGCAGACATCGAGAAGTTCTACGACAGCCTGCGCATCGACACCCTCGTCCCATAGGCGCTCAGGCTGAACTTCTGCCCGAGGCTCCTCACCATGCTGCTGCTGCAGCACTCGGGAGCCCGAATCTTGAGGTGCAAGAACTTGTGCTCGGAGCCGATGCTGGCCGACAGATCGATCCTGGCGGGTTCGAGGCACTCCAACAACGTGGCCAAGACGGTGGTCTACGCGGTGCTCAGCCACATGATGGACGTCGCCTCGGCGCTGCCCAAGCCGATGCCGCGAGCCTGGTTCGACGACATCAGCATCAAGGTCGTCGGAAGCAAGGGGGCGGTCACGGAGCAGCTCACGATGGCCACGAGCAAGCTGAAGTGGGGGCTGGAGCAGCACGGGCTCAGCCTGGCGGACAAGACGCTGATCTTCACGTCGGACTTCGGCGCCGCGCTCCAGGTGCAGTCCAGGCTCAATCAGCTTGGGATCAAGGTCAAGGCGGTCGCAGAGGGCAGAGACCTCGGAGCTGATCGTGCTGCAAGAGGTACTACCAGGAGGCCCTTTGCATGCGAAGAGGGCCAAGGACGCGTGCTAGAGCTTCGGACCGGTCGGCTTCAAGCTGCGCAAGCTGAGGCTGAAGGGGAGACGAGGAGTGGCCCACCAAGGTGCATCAGCCTCGCTGGTGTACGGGGTGGCCGCCCACGGGCTTTCTCCGTGGGCCTTCAGACACGCCGGGAGGAGGTGTGCGCAGGCGCTGAGGAGAGCGTGGCCTGGCCGCTGCCTCACCACCTTCCTGGCGCTGGAGGGGGTCGACCCAGCGGTCGCCATGACGCGGAGCCAGCTCAGAGCCTGGTTCGACCTGTGGGCCAAGAGCCAGGACCTGCGGGAGCAGGCGCGCAAGGCCTGGCCCAGGGTATACTTCAGGCTCCTGCAGACGGACCCGAGGCGGCGCTGGCAGCAGAGACGAGGAGCGATGGGCAGCATCATCTTGCTACTCTGGGAGCTAGGCTGGGACTCGAGGGGGCCAGACATCTGGATCGACGAGGACGGCTGCAGATGGCGCTTCCCAGAGGACGAGGAGGACGGAGACCCAGAGGTGATCATTGAGGCGCTCCTGGACAGCGTGAGAAAGCAGCTGTGGAGGCAGGCAGCAGCGCACCACAACGGCGCTGGCATGGAGCACGGGGTGGACTGCACGGATATGATCAAGCATCTGGAGTCCCTCAGGAAGCGGGACAAGCACCAGACCTACGGGTCGCTGCTGGCGGCAGCGTGCGCAGGCACATGGACACAGGCCAGGAAGCGCCAGGAGTTCAACACTGGCGATGAGACCTGCGAGTGCGGGCAGCGCGAGGACGACTTCCACCGCATCTGGGGAGCATGCTCTGCGA